AGAGCCTCTGCTACCCTGTGGGCTAATGTCCCCTGGCACTGGTCATGTTCTGCCATAGTAGCCTTTAAAATGGTTTCACCTTTCATAATTGTCCTTTTATTTATTTTCATATATTCATTTAGTATATCTTTATTGAGCACCTATGCCAGGCCCTTTCGAGATGCTCAGTAATTATTGGTGAACAAAGCAGGAGGTCTCTGTCCTTGGGGACTTGTTTGTGAACATTCTACTTATCATGGGCACAAGGACCTATTTTATTCAGTTCTGTGTCCCTGCACCCAAGATTGGCTGGGCAATGCAGGACCACGCCGGCATTCATGGGGGAGCTCCCCTGCGAGCCACGTGGGGGCACTCACGCTCCACGCTTGTGGCCATATGCTTCCTTAACAGAAATTTGTTCCAAAGGTCCAGGGTGGTCACCTCTCCAGCTTACCTTCTCAAAAAGGGGACATGGATGAGCCCTTCATTATTAATGACAGCAATACAGATTTGTAAGTTCTTAGGGAGGAAAGGCCACATCAGGTATGTACTATTGGCCGGAACAAGAGAGAAGATTTGGCTGCCTAAACTGCCCCAAAGGATGGTGTTCTTCTCTTTGTCATATTTTTTAGGTCTTGCAGAACAGTTATTCATTCATTGCTAATGAAATCCTTAAGGCTTCAAAGCACTACAACTTACAAGAAGAGACATTAGTGTGTTTTCCAAGATGTCGTTGAGAGGCACAAATGACAGTTATTTACACTCGGCAGCTTGAGCGGATTGCCTTACAGAAGAGAGGCAAGTGCCTTGCCCTCAGAAACCTCGTGCACAGCCAGCGAGGGAAAAGCAGAAATAGCAGTGCCGTGGGCAAGTCGTATTTCAAACTGAGGCAGATGCTGGGCCTTGGGCACTTAGTGTACTTTAGAAACAGTTAATATCCGGGTTTTTAGTCAGACTAACATGTACATGCAAACCTGCATCCTGAGATAATTTAATGTTCTAATCCCGAATGAGATTGTGTCTCTGGAAGATCAATAATTGAAAATATAAAACTCAACAAAACAAGTGAGACTTTGTGACAGCTCTTAAAGTAGGGACACTTCCTGACATCAGGTATAGTAAGTAGCTCAGTTAACCATGGAGGCACCAGATAAATTATGTTAAGCTGGAAAAATCGTGTGGTAATAAGGTGGTTTGTAAGGCCACACAACTCTGTCAAATGCTGTCACTTTAGGGGTTTCTAAGATTTTAGAGACTTAGGTCTTGATGCTTGGAAAGAGGAGAAAGGGGTATGATTTTAGCAAAGGACCCTGAGCCAAAAGCTGCAGATCCTTAGCTTATGCATGGTTTCTAGGGTGTACTGAAGCAGTGCCTCCCAAGCTCCAATGAGCACGTGTGTCGCCTGAGGGTCTTGTCTATACCCGATTCAGTAGGTCTGGGGGGTGGCCTGAGATTCTGCATTTCCAACCAGCTCCCGGCTGATACTGATGCTGCTGGTTCTCAGACTGCACTTTCATATTAGGGCTCTATGTTGTGTGTAGCTTGTGAAGAGAAGACTTCTACAAAGAACAGTAGCGTTTACTAGCTGCAGTATTAGCCTCATTCATTCGGTCAAGAAAATTGAGCACCTGGTGCATGTCAGGAGGCCTGACTCATACTAGCAGCTGGAGATACATGGTGAGTAAAGTTGAACTTGGTCCCCATCCTGCTGAAGCTTATTATTTTAGCTTGGGAGACCATCACACAGATGGGTAATTTCTAACTCTTAAATGGTGTGAAGCAATTAAGCCCAGCAGAGGGCTGTGAATGCATATGACAAGGGATGAGAGCTGGCTCCTGTGAGCTGTGGACGGCAGCGTGTGGAGGGGCCAACTGCCCAGGGGAGTCACCGGTGGAGCATCACACAGATGGGTAATTTCTAACTCTTAAATGGTGTGAAGCAATTAAGCCCAGCAGAGGTCTGTGAATGCATATGACAAGGGATGAGAGCTGGCTCCTGTGAGCTGTGGACGGTAGCGTGTGGAGGGGCCAACTGCCCAGGGGAGTCACCGGTGGAGGTGGCGGTGGGGGATGTTCCAGGGGGAGGGAACCGTGCTCGCAAAGCCCCCGAAGAGGGATGAGGACTTGTTGGAAGAACTGGCAGGTCCATGTGGTTGGAATGCTGGGAAAGAATGGGAAAAGATCTGGAGGGGAGGCTAGAGAAGAAGCCAGGTACCCGGCGGGGTGTTGGTAATCTCACAGGGGTACGAGGTCATCCTACCTAGTTGGTAATGGTATGGATACCACGTGTTAGGAGGAAGTGGGGACTAAGGCTTCCTTCTTTTTTACAGAAAGCACAGCATGTTTCCGTTTCACAAACTTATCCCTTAGGAAGGATGTGCTAGTGCAGATGACATCCACCTGCCAGAGTGGATCAAGGAAATCGAGGTATGTACATGTTAGAGTCTCCACGAGGGGGCAGCAGAGCAGAGGGCTTGAACCCTGGAGTCTGTAAAACTGGAAGAGAAAGGTTTTGCCGTCGAATTCTAGAACTGAAAGTCCTGCAGACATGTTTTAGATACCTTGATTATTCTAGATATCTTGATAGAAGCTGGAAACCCTAACAAACAGTCCACCCTTATATATTCCAGGTTACTCTTTCAATTCCTTCAGGATGGTTAGTTTCCAGGGGAAAAAGATATATCAAGAGAGTAAAGGTCACCCCCCTCCTTGATCTGTGCTGTATTTCGTCAGGAATATGGCATAATGTCTCCCAGTATTAATTCTCATTGTGCCACGTGGCAGGGGTTGTGGCAGACACGGAAGATTTGCCAGATGCTGAAAGCGATTAAATCCTGACTTAGCTGAGACAGAAGAGAAGGATCATTAGACTCCAGGAGTGAGTGGAGTGGTTTTAGGTCCAGGCGGCCAAATCTGTTGAGCATGCTGTGGTTTCTCCTATCTGGCAGGCATTAGCTGGCCATTCCCAGCTCTGTGATCCTCCCATCCTTTCTCAGAAAAAGGAGCTGATAGTAAACAGACCTGCAGAGGGAGGGGAACGGCGCCAGGTGTGACAGCTCCCTGCCAGTTACCAGCTATAGAATTGTAAGGGGAACTGTTTGAATCAGGCACAAGCATAGGTGTTTTCTTTCTTTTATTTCCTTTGTTTGTTTATGTACAGAGGTGGAGGCAACAAGAGGGCTAAGATTCCCCCATCATCTTAGAGCATCCAGGGTCAGCCAGTTTCCCAAAAGGGTCTGATAACGTTCAGCATGTAGACGGCCCAACGGACATCTCTGTTCCTTGTTATCTTGGCACCTAAAAAGTATCTTAGGGCCGGCCCGGTGGCGCACTCGGTAGAGTGTGGTGCTTGGGAGCGCTCCCGCCAAGGGTTCGGATCCCATATAGAGACGGGTCCGCTCACTGGTTGAGCGCGGTGCGGGCGCGACACTGAGGGTTGCGATCCCATTACTGGTCACGAAAAAAAAAAGACAAAAAGGAAAAAAAACAAAAAAGCATCTTATATTTCCCCATGCTGACACTGGAACAATCAATTGGGGTCACGCTTTTCTCATCTTGTCCTGGACTTTAGCTCCCAGAAGTGGACCAGGCAGCCACCAGAAATACCAATGCTGTCAGGTGACCGTGCTGTTTCCACATGCACCTGATTTGATCGTGGGCGGCCAGAATGGGTGCAGGTGTCTCATGCACTTCCAGCCTGCGGTCCATGGTTGAGAGTCTCTGTGTGGCAGACAGTTGGCATTTGCTACTGGTTTCCTCTTCTTCCTGGGCACATGGTTCAACTCTCTGCACACATGGTCCGACGTCCTGGCCTCACCAAGCTGTGATTAGTAGAATGTGGGGAGGAGCCACGGGGATGCTTCCAGTCCTGAGCCGTAGTCCCCACACTACCTGCTGTTTCCTTTTCCTTCCTAAAGGCTTGGTAGAGATTATCTGAGTATCCAGGAAGACCACAGAAGGAAGGAGCCAAGGTCCCTAGAACACTGCACAGAGAAGAGAAGCTGCTGCCTAGGAGCGCCATTTGGAATTTGCGTGAATGGGAAATAAACGTCTCTCGTGTGCGAGCCGTGATATGTTTGGGGGTTGGTTTGTTACAGCAGTTGGTGTTGTCTTACCTAATACATGGGGTGAGATTTTTCTTCACATCCAGGGACATAGCAGCGTGAGGAGAATCCGCTGACACCGGGAAAGTTGTCTAAATTGCCAGGCATCGGTAATACCCTTGCAAGGCTGAGTCAATGTAGCAAAACCGTGTGTCCTGAACTCTAAGAGTCTGATCTCCTGACAAGCTGTTTTCAAAGTGAAGCCCGCTGTGTATGTTCAGCATCTGCGAAGGGGGAGTTACCCCAACCTTATTCCTAGTGGAATCAGGTTTTATCACTTGTGCTCAGAAGTCCGAGATTGCATTTGGAATTCGGCACTGCCTTCATGACTGCTTCTCTACCAATGTGCATTTTATGGCCAAATGATGACCAGGACTGGCTGTTTGGACTGTCATAAATTCACAAGACATGTTCACGGAGACCTTGCCAAGGGTGTGGCTGCTTTGGCTGTTGCATCAGATCTAGTCGTGGGGAATGGGGGTGGCCAGCTTGGCCAACAACATACAAAGTTTGTGTAAACATTTTTCCCCACTGATATAAAGTATATTAGTCAGGGATTTTGGGTGCAGGCAGTAGACTGGCTGGCTTTTTTAAGCAAAAAGGAAAATTTTCAAAGGATGTTGGTGTTCACAGAATCATTGTGGGGCTGGAGGGTCAGGCTTGGAAAATAGAACCAACCAGAGGAGCTTGGAGAGGCTGGACAGCAGGACTCACAGCTGAGGCTGTGATGTGAGGGCAGATGGTCCCTCACTCATTTGAGATGCAGAATCCCAGGAAGAGGGCTCAAGTCATGGGCTTACCCCCAACTGTGCCAGAGTCGGGAGACAGAGGATATTATCCCCTTTAGCTTCTGGAGTGGGTAGAAACATTGTCTCCAACAATGTCTACACACAACTGCAAATTCCTCCAAAAATTTCAGGGGCTTAACACAATGAAAGCTTATTTCTTTTCCATGCACGAGTCGACTTCAGGTTTTCCTGGTTGGCGGATCCCCTTCCGTGCAGCGACTTACGGATTCAGGCCCTTCCAACATGAGCTCCATCAAGTCTCAGAGTCCTCTGCCTTCAAGAGTCGACTTCAGGTTTTCCTGGTTGGCGGATCCCCTTCCGTGCAGTGACTTACGGATTCAGGCCCTTCCAACATGAGCTCCATCAAGTCTCAGAGTCCTCTGCCTTCAAGCAGAAAAGAGAGAGAGTGAGTGCAGGTGCCTCCAGTGCATCATAAAAGCCCTGGGCTGCATGGGAGCCAGGGAGGATGGATGACATGTGCCATCTCTGCTGTCAGTCCCAGAACTCGCCAATGCACCTTCCGGGGATGCTGGGAGATATACAGCAGCCGAAGGGTATGCAATGGCCAAAGCAACCACACCCTTGTCATGGGCATGGGGTGCTTATAGGAAGAGACAACGGTTGGCTCCTGCAGATAAAAGCAGTTAACTTCTGCTCCTAGGGCTAAACATGTTTGGATGAGGATCTTAGGAATCTAGTCCTTTCTTAAGCTTTGAGGAGAGAGGGGTGGGCACTAGTATTTGTTGAGTGGCCTTATGCATTAGACACTTTGCAAAGTAATCTCACTCAATGCTTAGCACTACCCTTTGGAGTAAATACTCTTTCCATTTTACAAATGAGAGAACTCAATTAACAGGCTGTGAAGGGATTTTTTTTCAGCTAGACAGCAGCAGAGCTAGTATTCATACCCAGGTCTCATCTATTCCACAGCCTCACTCACGTTCCTTTCTCTACCCAACTTCAGCATCGCCTGGCTCTAGCCTCGACTGTATTTTGCACTGAGAGGGTATGGAATGAAATTCTACAATTTGGGTCAAAATAATCCACAGGCAGTAAAAATAAGCTGCAGGGGTCATAGGTTGAATTTCCCCTGGGAGAGGCAATTTTGGGAAATGCTGGATGGTTTAGAGGGGCCAGACAGGGAGGAAGAAGGGAAAACATAACCTGATTCAAATGTGAGAAGTTGTTATCATCAAATATTACCCTAATTGCAAAAAAATTAAGGAACTGCAGGATGCCAGGAAAATAAAGTACAAGTGTACTAGGCGTTGGCTTTTTTGGCAAAGCGAATTTGTCTGTAATCACTTTTAAAAAGATATGAAAGGAATTGCCTCACACAGAGTGATCAGTTAAGCCTTTTTTTTTTTTTTTATCTGTTTCTTTAGAAACATTGCATTTTGAAGGAAACCATATTAGCTGAAGATGGTGAATTTGTCTGGTTATTGCTTTTTATTATAAACCTAAGCAACATTTAACACCACGAGGGAATGCAGAATTATCAGGAAAGCTAAAAGCAGAAATGGTCTTTTTTTCCACATTGAAAGTTCTGTTTTCCTAGTTGAAAATGAATGTTTTAAGGTTCACAGAACACCATCGAGGGAATGCAGAATTATCAGGAAAGCTAAAAGCAGAAATGGTCTTTTTTCCCACATTGAAAGTTCTGTTTTCCTAGTTGAAAATGAATGTTTTAAGGTTCACAGAACACCATTTTTTATTACTCAGCAAGATGACAGGACAGTGGTTATAAGGTCCCCATATTAATGGGTCTTACAAAAAGCATCTGAGACAGATCCATTGATTTATAGTGATGAACAGCCATATTCAGCTCTAATAACAATTATTTAATAATAAGAATGAAATGTGGGGGCAAGGTTGCAATGCCTGTTTTTGCTTTGGGCATTAAACATCTGTAATGATCTTTGTTAGCATCTGAATGTTTGTGTCCCCCCAAAATTCATATGTTGAAATCTTCACTGCTAAGGTAATGGTGTTAGGAGGTGGGGGCTTTAGAACGTGATTAGGTCGTGAGGGTGGAGCATCATGAATGGAGTCAGTGCCCTTATAAAAGAGGCTCCAGAGAGTTGCCTCACCCCTTCCGTCATGTGAGGACACAGAGAAAAGACAGTCGACTATGAACCAGGAAGCTGGTCTGCACCAGACACTGAATCTGCCATGCCTTGATCTTGGACTTCCCAGACTCTAGAATGGTGAGAAATAAATTTTTGTTGTTTGTAATCTATCCAGTTTATGACATTTTGTTATAGCAGTCCGAATGGACTAAGACCATTTTTAACCCAGTCGATACTGTTTTCTTTGTCAAATCCCTTTTGAAAATGGGCCAATACTTCTGTCTTTACAGAGATTGAAAACTGGTAGTCCCTAAGCCTTATTTGGCCTGCATATATCTTTTCAGAATATTTGAATTGTCAATGTTGAAAAATCAAAAGGTTTTACACAAAATTCTGGATTTCTGGCTTCTCAAAAAACCCCATAAAAATCAGAAGATCTCGCAAAATGAAGTGCTCATTTCTGCCTGGCAGAAAGGACTATGTTTTCAAGATCCTCACATACATGTATAGCCTTTAGGGCAGACGTTGATGACTTTTTGGTGGCCCAGAAGCCACTGCCTCTCTTCCTGTTAGTCCTCTGTAGCATGGTCACACACCCAGCAATGTAGGAGAGTTTGTTCTGACTCCTCCATATCCTTGCCCACATTTGGGGTCCTCTGTCGTTTTACTTTTAGCCATTCTAGGTGTGTGCACTGTGGATAGTGAGAAATCATTGTGGTTTTCATTTGAATTCTCCTAATGATTAATACATTGAGCAATTGTCCATGTGCTTATTGGGTATTTACAACTGTCGTGAGGTGGCTTCCTCCCAGAAACTGCTCTCTACCCAGAGCTTCCCAGCTTCTTCCTGCATTCCCAGAACCAGCCTCCACATGCCCCTCTCAGAGACCCCAGCCCTTGCTGGACAGCCCCTCACCTTAGAAGCCTGACTCCGAGCTGCATGGGAATTTAGCCAGAAGACAGACAGCAGCAGATCCCTTGCAGATATCGTCTGTGAAGGTCAGCCTCATCGAACATGGAGTTCAGAGAAAGGCATAACGCCAGGTGCTGAGTCTTCATCTGGCTTCCCATCAGGTGACTGGTGCCTTTGTGTCTGGACTGGGGGCAGGGAGTGAAGACCCTCACGGCACAAGTACACGGTTAGATGTGGAGAGGATGGGAAGATGAGGGAATGACATATAAATGAATAATTCAAATGTCATCCCACCAAAGTCCTGGGGTGCATTTGTCAGGTGAAATCCTCCACAGAACTCTAATCTGTAGGCAGATAAGAATACCCATCACCCACCCCCACTGCCCTGGTGTTGTTCCTCCTCCTGCAGGTAATTCACAGGGAGTTCCACATGCCCTAGGGCTGGCTGCTAGTGGCCTGTGGCTGCTGACCACATATCTCATGTGTGCTCATCGCTCTAGCTCACGGGTTTCATTTTGTCTTTCCAGCAAGACTGTGAGTCTTTCGGGTCTGAGATCATCCGTTGTGCCGATCCTGCGCCTCTGCCTGTCAGAGTGGAAACGCGCACCACCTCACGGCTGTGTCTGACTGACGGCTGATCCCAACGCGTGCTGACGAGGCGAGGAAACACGAGGGCTGTGGTTTTCCAAACACAAGCTGGTTTCTTACTAACCAAGGCAGCCGCCTCAACAGGCAGCTGACATCGCCCCCAAACAAGCAGTTACTCACAGCATGCTATATATAGAGGTAAATAGAGGTCAGGATCTTTTGGAACTAGGGTGTTCTTTCGTCTGTTATTTTAAAGTCTTTAAATTAGTAAAGAATATTCTTTGCTTTCTGGTTCCGAGTGAGAGGAAGAATGTGCTTGATGTACGTGGTGGTTTGGGAGGAGAAGATGCTTTTCTGCCATTGCTATCAGATGCTCAAATGTTGTCAGGGTGAATTACAGAGATTTGAGAAAACCAAAGATGAGCGAAGAATTGAATGTATAGTAGGAAACAGTGCCACAGCTGGTTCTTAAAGGGAGAAGCCTTAATATGTGTTCTAAAGTTTTGTAAACAGGACTTTAATTACTTAAGTCACTGGTAGGATACATTTTTGTTGTAAAGATGGAAAATGTTACAAACAACATCATCCTGATACCAAAAC